TGCCGATCTGTAAAACCTGGTCCGAACCCAGAAAGTCATTGCGCCGATATTGATCATCCACCGTGCAAAAACTCAGTCCATGACAAGGGTCAGAAACCCATATGCTTGCAGCCAGTAGTCACCGAGCTGCACGGACACCTGACAAAAACTACAAAACTGCCTGGTTGGATCAAAAGCTTTCACGTGATTGTCTTGCTTCTTTGAGTTGTGCAAGGACTTGCTAAGCTTATAAGCCGAAGTTGGGCGAAGCTACCTGGAGGATGCTTGCATCATCCGTTCCTGAAACACCCCAAGCCTTAATCACGAAGCTTCTTTGCACGCTAACTGAAGTGTAAGGTCTGCGGCATCAGTTTAGGCCGTGCGCTGAGGTCCTGCGCTTCTTAAAAGAGAAAAGGACATGTCGTCCATCTAGGCGAAGTTCCGCAGTACGGTTCTGTCAGAGACTCTGTCAGCTGTTGTGACTTGGATACGCACCCCAAGCCTGTCTCATCGAAATGCCGGAAGGGTCAGGCTGACCAGAGACTCTTGTGGGGTCCAAACTTTGGCTCGGCTTCGGTTCAACCACTTTGCGGCTTCCTTCTGCTGTAATGCCGATGCCGTATGATTCCTTACACTGCCGCAAGCCTGCAGGTGGAGCAGCCCACCAGGTGGTACTTCTTGTGCTGTGGCCTGTGGAAGAAGCAAACCCCTTGCAGATCACCAGAACCGATTGCCCTGCCTCTGCAAAAGAGCTGGTGCGATTCAGCGGCGCATCTGGTGCTTCAGCAGCTCCCTGGTCTCGTGATCCACGACATCACGGATGCTCCCTTCAGCGGACAGGATTCTGCTCTCTGCCTCTGCTGGCGGTGCCGGCGCCTCGACGAACGAAATCGACATTAACGTACTGACGTACTGTGCAACCCCACATCCAACACGCTGCTATACGTTGCGCTTGACACTGGCACGACCTTTCAGGCTGCAACCGGAGGCACTGCGGCAGCGGAATCTCTCTCTCCCTGACCTTCAAGCTAACATCCTATTTGCTTGCAACTTTCCTGGTGCCAGCACCCAGGCCTGCCAACTGCGGAGACGCATCTTGCATGTCTACGATGCGATGATGTGCATTGCGTTCTGATGTGGCTGCTGGATGAGAATGAATACATGTGTCGTGCATCTTTCCAAACACTCGGACAATCACAAGCGCGATCGGCAAAGCAAATGATGTAAGACATTGTTCACGTGTGCCACAAAGATCACCTCCTCGTTGCCATAAACCGCGGCTCAACTTAAATGAAATGGTCCAGAAGGCTTGTGACCTTGAAGCGCAGGTGGCCGAGGAAGCATGCACACTCAACAAGGACCCCGAAGGAATCAAAACCGGCTTCAATCCCAAAACACCCACAAACCCTGACAGCCCCGGCACCTGTAAGTGCTTAGACCGGTAAGCCGAACATTCAAAGACGTCCGCCATTCGAGTAGGGGAGTACAACAAGTCACAATCAGACTTGAAAGTAGCAACTCAAAGCACTCTAGCGCATCTCCGTCACACCTCAAAGACACCTCCCGCATGCCTCGCTACATCTCCGGCACATTTCCGCCACACCTTCCACACGCCATCCCCACAAATTCCTCCCCGACACCATCCACAAACATCTCAGTAGCACGCTTCCCCAACAAACGCTGGAACAGCCCCCGCACACCCTCGGTATCCAGTCCACGCACCAACCCAACACTCCGCAACACCTCCCAGACACGAAGCACTCGACCTGTCAAACTTGTGCAACCCTTGTCAAGGGTTGAAAACCCACATAAAGATCTGTAATTCGGATGCATCTTGTAAACCCTAAAATGCCCATAAAATGCTCAACTCTAAATCCTGCTTGGCTTACTTGTCCAGTATCACGGGGGAACTAGACGTCGCCGAATTTTGGGATTATAGGGACATGTAGTATCCAAATAAGGCTAAAGGTTGCCTACTCTACTACTGGGTTGAAGTTTCAGCTACTCAGGGCTTACCATTGCTCTACTTTTAGGACAAATTTTCTCATGGACAAAACCTGAGCCCCGGACGATCTCTGAAAAGACACAACAACAAAGAACACATGAACCACAATCGAGATCAAATACAAGGGGCTGGGATGTAAACCGTCTGCTGCCAAACTGAATTGCTTCATCCTGACTAAAGCCATTCAACTGCTGTTGCGAAGGACTGCAGAGATGCATTTGCGGTTGTGGCCTTTCATTTCGAACCGACTGTCAGCAACAAAACGCTCGCGATTTATCGACTATCGATACACTGCATGGACGTGCGAAGTGAAAACATTAAAACATGGGTCACTGATTTCTTGCATCACCATTGACCAGGCTGACCAGGATATAGTCCATTTGTGCATGCTTGTGGAGTGTACAACCAATGTACTCCAACTACTCCATAAGTAACGAGTTGTGGTTCAACCGATTTTTCCATTTATGACTACCACCATTCTTTCGAGACCAAACCAACGCCTTTGGTTCTGTATTTAAGCTCGAGAAATCAAGATCTGCCAAGGTGGGACAGGACCGCGAGACCCTAAACCCTAAATCCCTAAACCCAAAACCCAAATCAGTAAACCCGAAGAAGTCAGCCACCGTGAACCCTCAACCCGCAATCCTCGACACTCAACTAGGAAAGAATGAGTATAACCTATAACGCATATCCCTCACGTCTCCTGGTAATGCCTGTCTGTTGGCTCTGGGTCGTTATGACCAAGTTTGAGGCATGTATGCGGAAAGAACATCCAAACGGGCTGTACGCCTGCGCACCTGCTGTACGAAAAGTTTCCGGATATCGTCCTGTCAGAACAGCGTCTTGACGGTCTGAGTTACAACGCAAACTCCTAATGGCTCTGGCAGCAGGTGCAAATTGATTCAATGGTTGCACACTATCAAATTATAGCTGGGATAGTTCTTCGGAATCAGTGTGGGCTTCGGGATTCGGGCAACCAGGCGGGCTATTTGTGCCTGCTAAGCCAGCTGCCTGTGACTGTATGCATCGATACAATTGCCTTTGATACTCTCCTTTTGTGCTCTTTATACTCGTCGATCAACTCTCAGGTCGTATGAATCTGCTGCGAACATAGACCATCCTGCAACAAACTCTTTTCGCTTTTTTCTACTAAGTTGCAACCTGGTTGAGCTACAAGACATGCCGTATCAGCGTTGCCGTTAAATGTTCGGCTAACATATCTTGAGCCGCTTCTGCCTGGATGATCTCAGGTTCAACCTCCGGCTCCTTCTCATCGGTAAGCTTCAGCGGTCGGGGTAGTGGTTCAGGGGTTGGTGCGGAAGCTTCGTGTTTCGATCTCGTCACTTTCGCCATCGCTGAGCAGATAGAACGGGTGGACTTACTCAATGCTAGAAGACAGATATAGCCAGATGTTACTCTGACCCGATTAGACCAGGCAAGTATAGCTAGTGTGGGACGCACCTAAATTCCCAAATCACAGACCTTAAACCTCAAAAGTCTAAACGATGAACACCGGAAGCACTAGGAGTTCTTGAATCCGTGGATTCTGTGTTTGACAGACAGGTCGTATATGGACCAGCGACCAGTTCGTGTACAGATAAGCCCGTGTGATCCCGCTCGCATGGACGTCGCCAATATTCTCTAGTCGCCAAAATGACTCGAACAACACGCGGGACCGGGGATCAGAGGAGCTGAGTTTATTTCGTGCCTGTGTGCCTTGTGAAGTTGGAGTCGAAGTAGCTGAAAACCTGCTGTCGCAGAACATGCGAGAGCATATGTGTATCCTCAGTTCTGGTGAGAGCTCTTTGGTCGAGCATCTCGAATCTCCGGTGGCCGGATGCTGCTGCTGCCGCGATTGCACATGTGAAAATGCAAATTGTTTTGCGTGCTGCTGTCCAGCACTGTGCTTGTTATCATTATTGTCATGGTCTGAATTGAAAATGTTTCTTCTTACAGCGGCTGTTCCGCTGTCGCAAGTGTTGCAATTGATATGTTCAGCCTTGCTTACCAGTCGAGCAAGCAAAGCAAGGCAGCAAATACTAATGCTCCCCAATGTGAGCCACGAGAGACTTCAAGTGCCCCTGCTGGTTTAGAGAACCTGCTTGCACCATCTTTCGGGAAGCATTGCATCCCTCAAGGGTCGACTTGGGATGCGAAACTGGAACCTGGCAGTTCCGAACCCTGAAATAGAATCTTACAAGAAAACTGTCCAGTAGGAGGTGGGCATCTTTTGGTTCCGAGACTGGGGTTGAAAGTTGAGGGCTCTGGGATGCACAATAAGATCCATCGATTTGTGTTTCGAAAACTGCTTCACCAGCCAAAATCCTGCGTCGGTCAAGCCGGCCGCACTGCTCAAAAACGCAGGCAGTAGCTACCATGGCCTGTGAAGATTGTCTAAAGCCTCTGCTGAAGCAGATCTCCCAAAATACCGAGTCCAGACCCCAAAAACACACAGCGGACGACCTTCTGCAAAGTGATACCTGCTTCACAGACGGTAGCCAGGCTTGCCGCTTGCACTGGTTCTAACGCTGGAAAACGAGTGGGAACCAGCGAATAGCATAGTCGGAGTGTTATTTCTGCAGTCGTTTTGTCAGGCGGCAACCAGCTCTGTGTGGAACATTTCTAAGAGCCTCCAGCATCCCTAATCCTTTTTGCAGTCCAAACGCAGTGAATGCCTCTGAATGCTCGGCTGGGGTCTTCGCCACGTCTCACCAAGCCGTTGCGCGTCACGTTTGAAGTTTGATCGGGGACCGTCGGACCGCAGCATAGAGCAATCTCAAGCAGGCTCCGGGCTGCGGCTGTGGCTTCAATGGAGGTGTAGCGAGCATGGTGAAGGGCCTTTCTGTCTGACCCAAAGCAGGCAGGTCGTGACCAGCAGCCAGTCAGGCTTGCTCCAAGGTAGTGAAGATCGGGCAGGCGGCAGGCGGTTCCGTTGCATCTCAGAGAATCAGAAGACCGAAGTCTGCCTTGCGCTGCAATGCCACTCTCGGAAACCATCTTGACAGGCCGGTACAGATCAAGGCTTTGCTGCCAGTCTGTAGGCATTCCATCGCACCGCCCATCCTGCATCCGCAATTTCGTTTCTGTGCCTCCAGAAAGTGTTCTGCAGCTCTGGGAGTGGTAGCAGTTCCGCCCAGTCTCTGGGAGAACCCGGGGCCAGCAGCCCAGGGTCTGCCCGTAACGTAATCAGAAGGAGTGCCATTTCCACATGGCCTTCCATTGTCGCCCGGAGCAGTGGTGTATCGCCATCCACACCCTCTCGACACAGTATGTCAGAAGGGTATTTGGCATGCTGGAGCATCCACTCCACGGCAGGAACGGCATTTGTCATGGCAGCAGCATGCCACAACGTTGGCGTTGTGTGCTCGAAAAACTGGTGAACCAAGCAGGGTTTACCAGGAAAGAGACTTGCAAGCACTTGCTGAGCAGGTCCACTGGGAGATGAACACACGGCTTGAAAGTACGCACTTGTGCCTTCAATATCTCGCTTCGCAGGATCACATCGTCGATCACAAAGCCAAGAGCAAACCCCAGAATGACCGCCTGCCCGTCAGGGAAATCAGTCAGTCTAATCAAACACACTCAGAACTCAGAACTGCAAGCGGCTGAAGAAATACAGCCATGTCTTGTCAATGGAAATGAAGGGAACGACTCGAAGAGGCCTGGAAACACTGCCACTCTCGCAGAACCTACGCCAGCTCATCCTTGACTCTCTCAAGCTGCAAAACAAGCTGCTACCCTATGCTTCCAGCGCCTCGAGCAGCATACCAAAGAGGTGTTCTGCCTGAGGCTCTGAGGGAGCACAACTGAAAGAGGCGTTCGAGTGCTTCGGCTGAGGATGGCTGAGGCCTAGACCTAGCTCGTCAGCGCTGTCAAGATGATCCAAGGCGCACTGGCCGGTCTCCGCTATCATCACCAGCAACTGCTCATCCCCTTGCAAGGCAGCATAATGGAGCGCACTGCGGCCGCTTCTGTCGCATGTCGTAACTTTCATGCCCTTCTGCATTGCAAGCTTCATGAGGGAGCCATTGGATGTTAGAGCAGCCTCCAAAGTCAAACTCCACTGGGTTCGCGGACAGACCACATCTTCAAACTTCAGTTTTTCTTTCCGGAGGAGGTCTTCTACCAACCAAGTGCAGCCCGTGGCAGCAGCTCGCAGACAGCGCTCCCAAGGCTTCTTGGATTTCCAGGCCTCGAAGGATTCAATTTCAACCCCGTCACGCCAAAGAATCCTGCAGACATCTTCAACATTCTGCCCATCGTGGCGATGGTCGTAATCCAGCCTGACAAGGGCTCGGTCGAGAGAGTTTTCGAGATTTGCCCGGGCTTCGACCAGAATTCTGCAAAGGTTTGCATCTCCGCTCTCGATTGCGGTCTCCAGTGCACTGAATCCGTTCGGTCCCACCGACTCCATAAGTTCTTCTTGAAGATCTCGGACGAGCGACACCAGCTCGGGCTCGGGCTCAGACTTAGCGCTCTGCGCTCTCTTGCTCCGACTCACGAGGGTCTCGCAGTCACTGTGGCAGCCAGAGTTGATTGAGCTCCACCAACATCCATGCACCAGGCGTCTGACTGAGTCTATTTGAAGTTCCAGCAAGTCCTCCAGCCACTTTGCACGCTCCTTACTTCCTGCAACATACGCCTGAAGTCTTGCAGGAAAAGAGCGGCAGACGCCCTCGTACAGCCCAAGATTTGCAGGCAAATGTTGCAGTTCTACACCCTCGCAGATCACATCAACAGCATCAACATCTACCTCCAGAGCGTTCCTGGCCGCGCGAAGGAGCTCTCCGACGGTTGATGCCACAACCTGCCAGTCTTGCGAGGGATTCAGTTCAAGCTATGTCCAGAGCTGACTCAGCCCGAGCCCCTCCAAAAATCGGGCACCTCCTTCTCCATGCGGCTCCCGCTCCACAGACACATCAAAACTGTCGCCTGCCGGGTCACCAAGGCGAAGTGGGAAGTGGACGCTCGTGCTCCACATTGACAAGCTGAGATACCCGAACCGGGCTTCCACGGCCTTTCGTCCCTGCAAGTGAAAGGATGTCACAAGTCCAATCGTCGAAGCAAACCTCGAAAACTGGCTCAAAGGAATGCCACAGCCTTCTTGGTGGGGCTGGATCGCGGCGAGTGCCCTGCGTGCGGCCTGTCAGCCCGGGCCACGCAAGAAGTTCGATGGACTCTGACGGTCTCGACAGCATGCCTGAACTCTTCGAAGGCTGGCGGCACGATGTCCGGGCCTGCGAAAAGATCCGAGTGAATCTCAGCATGACTTTGAAAGACGCTCAGGCGAATACCCAGCTGCTGTGAGCTCTTCTTGAAGTTCTGGCTCTTGTGGCTGCGGCACCACATTAACGCTCGCTTCCGGCCTTGTCTGCAGTAAGTGGAGAAGACTTGGACTCAAAGTCCGAGGTTTCAGCGGACGATTCGAGCTGGAGCTGCCGCTGCCCATTGCACATGAGCCACTTCATGGAACTGTGACTACGGAGTCAACACTTACTTCATGCTGCATGCTGAAGGAAGCAGAACTGCTCATGTCGCAATACAGTGATCCAGCCGATTGACCAGAAGCACAAGGTCGTCATGCGAGACGCTGTCTGCTCCAGGGCAAACCGCACGTGTCCATTTCAGCCCATGCTGTTTTCAAGCGTTGCGTGCGACGCTGAACTTGAAGGAGGTCCAACCCAGTCTCGACACCTGGGCTCCCCACTTGAACGAGCTTGTGAGTCCCAAAATCTTCAGTTATCCGAGCGACCACCGCTCGAAGAGCCTGCGGTGCCCCAGCTTCCTGGAACAGACATGTCTGACCACTCCAGCACGTTCCCCGCCACCCCCCCCCCCCCCACACCCACACTTCCGGGTTAAAGTCCTTACACCCAAGTCGACGAAAAAGCTGCTGAGAAGTCTTCCGTTCCTTCGCATAACCCGGCTCCGACCAAGACATGCTTGCATAGCACATCAAGGCCTGATGTACTTCTGGGCAACCTTGGCATCACACATGCATCTACCAGTACCTGACAATCTCCCCCGGCAAGTTGACGGATAAGAATCTTGCCTCAGCCGGGGTCTGGTACTGACGAAGACGAGCGTGATATTCCATCAAGAACCTGCCATGGACTCCAACTGCTCTGACAAAACCAGTGAGCCTGAGAATATCTGAGACGTCTGCCCGCAGGAGTCCATGCTCAAAAGCCAGCGGCTCAAAGGCTCTGCCTCACACAAATTGCACGCCCCCCCCCCATATGCCACCATACGCCCGTCAAAGCCCCGGCCTTCATGACTGGCAGGGCACTGGACGCAATCCTTCAGAGCGACAGTCGTGCCCCCTTCCGGCATAGGGTGCTAGGAGGTGCAGGGCAGTGCTAGGCAGTGCTAGGCAGTGCCAGACTGTCCTTTGTTGTCTCATCTCATTCTCAACAGTGTACTCGACACGGCGCAAGTCCAGGTGCTGCGAGCAGGTGACGGCTGAAGAAAGCCCGATGTTGCGCTGCTCCCCACCTTGACTCGAAGGGCAGCACGCCTGACCCTGCCACGACACGATGCTGGGAGGTGTAGCAGATCAAAGCTTGTGAAACAGCTGTTCCTACGAGCACACGTGCATTGCACCGCAATACGTGCCAGGCGGGCTGCAGATTGCGAGGGTGGAACCTCATTGCCTTCACAGCTTGCGTCGATCCACGTTCCAACGTTACACAAGCTGTTGCCAAGGCTGTCCTCGTGGGCAGCATGATCAAATCCATCTGTCGGAACCACCCCTGCGACTCCAGGTGACTCCAGGTGCAGACCCACAGCACAGAACCGAGCTGAGAATGAGGCCTTTGAGAGCAAGCCTTGGGTCACACCATGGTGGTTCAGGCATTGCATCGATCACACGTTCCGCTACATCGTAAACTTACACAGTCACCCCATTCTCTCCGCATGTCTGCAATCAGCTTTCGTGAAACCTGGAGCTTGATCCCTCACGAGCTTTCTTCCACAAAATGGTGCTGAAGATGCACTTCCACCGCACAGCTGTCGAACCAGGGCAGCTACTTCTCAAGCGCGAGAAGGGCATTGACTTGCACGAAGGAGTTGCGGCGATGGTCCTGACTGAAGGAGATGATCGAACAATGCTGGCACTGCTGAGGGATGTCCTCAACCCAACATGTATGTCTAGGGGTGCCTTCATTGCAGTGAGCACCCTCTGCAATCCGTCGGTCTGCGATGCCGGTAGCTGGATGGCAAGCAGCAAGAGACAGAGACAGTAAAGCCTCGCCTCCACCACCCTTTCTGCACCAGTCGACTGTCGCTCGGCCAGCCTGCTGGACGTCGACTTAAGAAAGCATGTCAGTCTCCACGGTGCAACCAAACAGAGGTTTCTCGGAGAAAACTAGCTGCCCAAGCAGCTAGAGGCATGTAGGGGCTTCCGCCTCCAGACAGCCACGCATGCATTGTCCTGCACGGTTCCGTCTTCTCCTGGCTACGAGGCTCTGATAAATTCTGCAACATGCACCGAAACGAACGATCCAAGGCTTGTGCTGTGCAGATCCATCAGCTTGACCAAATCCTGTACAAGCAAAGATGTTGAAAGCAAATCTCTCTGCCGTGATCAGGATAAATTCTACTATCAGCCGCAAGTAGCTGCTCAGCTGTAAAGCCCAGACTTCGTCACGGTACGTGGTCCTCGACAAATCCGGCTGCTACCATCAATTCCGTATTATTGTCGTTTCTCCTTGGTCTGCACATCGGAGAACTGCGTGGACAAGACATCGGCCGCTCGTAATCAATGCCCAAGGTGCTGGCAGAAACCAGCAATGACACCAAACCCCAGCCCTCAGCCACCAAGGCCAGGTGCAGCTGAATAGAGCTTCCATCCAGAGGCCGCCGCTAGCAACCTCAAGGTGAGTCCCAAAGTGCCGCAGGGCTTGCAATGTACGTACCTTTTGCTGTCACGCATGCTCGCTCTCACAAGTACCGCCCTTTGCACAAATACGGAGCTGAGCCTCGAGAAGCGGGTCCAGCAGTTTCTGCACGTGAGCGAAGTCTCTGCCTGGACCCCATGGGCCCATGATGGCCCATGCCAAGTACTATACTCTTCAAGGCAAAGAAACCGCCCAAGAGCCGAGGTCGCAGCGCAGCCACTCACGCAGCTTCTCAAAAACTTCGACCTATGGTGGCAGAGAAGAGAAAAATCGCACTCAAGAGGAGGCCCTCGAGGCCGGAGCAACGAGCCAAGGATCATCCGGATCTGCGCAGCCACAAGGCATCACAAGGCATCACAAGGCACAAGGTGCAGAAAGCGCTTGTGCTTTGTGTTGAGAGCCCGACCTTCCAGAAGTTTGGAACACTGGCACAAGGCCTGCATCAGTTGATCTGTGAAGGTGTCATCACACCGTGATGCAGGGCAGCATTTTCGGCTTCTCTGACGAGGCTTCCCTTCACGGGCATCCGTACGTTCATTCTCCACTGGAGGTACTTGCTTTACTGAGTATGTATTATCCAACCCGCTCGCCTCACCCACCCTACCATTTACGATGACTTAAGTTTCATGTCCGGCGCGGCGGCTTTCGCGGCGTTTCGGCGTGGCATGCAAGACGGTTGGTTGTCTCTGCAAGTGTGGGATGTCAGTCTAGTCGCTCGTCTCCGGTCCTTCATGTCTCACCTCGGCTTCTCGGTCGTCAGGCCTTTCGTCTGGACAGGTCGGGGTGAGGGTAATCTTCAGGGCTGCCGGCCATCAAGCACACGATTCGTGAGGTCTGGCGACGAATGTTGAAAGGACACGGTGCTTCCTGCGATGAGCGCTGTGAGAAGCGTCTAAGGCGCTTGCCTGCTCTCGCTTCGGGAGCTCAGGGTGACTGTCTTGCCCGCAAGCATTGCGGGGGGAAGCAACCGGGCCATGACTCATGACCCCCCTCGCATGATCTCCTTCTGGGCGCGGCTGCGAGAAAATCGGATCTTGCATATCGCTACGACTGATGCTCTTGATGCTCTGTCGGTGCGAATAGGTCATAGTTTTGGTTTGTTTAGGACCTGTTTTCAGCTAAGGAACTTTCGACGTGGGCCTTCAGGCCTCAGCTAAGGATCCGCTTGGCTTTCCCTTTTGCCGTCTTGCCCCCCTTCAGGATGTGGGCGGCGGGGTCTTCGACTTCTCGGCCCTGCCATTTATGATGGGAGTATCCAGCCGTCCCGGGATGGTTGCTGCGTTTAGGCAGTTTGGGGCAGAAAGGCTCAACGATGCATGTGCGCTGCTCTGCAAGCCGAGTACACCAAATAAGCTTGAAGTTGACTGCAATGCTTTCAATGGGAGAGGTGCGGAGGGGACAAAGCGCGAGCGCAGGGTGGGATTGATTGGAGCACCTTCGAAGGTGTGCTTGGTGCTGCTATTGCTCGCTCAGAGCAACTATCGAATCCACCGAGCACATCCAGGACTCTGCTTTGCTGCATTTTTGTCATTGTTGGTCACCAGCACTGAGCTCGCAGCCTCGTAGGTTGCGTCTCGAAGATCCAGCACCTCTCAAGGAAATCCCGGGTCCCGAAGCCACCTGGGAGAGTGGGCCTGGCCTGGTAAGGAAGCGTGGACATCGTGCGCCATCTTTACTACCCTTTGCCTGCCGCGCAACTACAATGCTGAAGGGTGCTGCAGCCATACATCACGCTTATCATTGAGGATGTGCGCAACCTGCAGAACTCCACCATGAACTTGCCAGCTGACAGTTTTCGGCGATTTCGCAGCATCGGAAATCAGCGGCTATCTGTCTTAGCAGCTCCACTGGAAAGCACTGCGCGCACTCCAAAAAATGCTTTGCAAAGCAAAGACAGAAGGAATGCTGCGTTGTCTCCTAAGGCCCCGATGAAACAAATGCACATTGCATATACCTCCAGGTGGCATCTTCGATGCGAAGTGTAAGCAAGCAAACCTGTCGAACCAGGATGTAGAGCGGTTGCACTGCTTTGCAGTGGCTTTGGTGCGTTGCTCCAAATATCCCACAGCTACATCCTGTCAACAAAATACACTCTGCCGGCAAAGCACAACAAGTTGTCCTTTGCTGTTGCACACACCACAGACACAGGCTCTCCTTATAAGGCTTGTGGCATGTAAGGCACCGGCAGCTGTTCCCACACCAGCACGGACTGCAGCTGAACAGCCCCCTAGGCTTGATAGCTGCTGGATCCTGGACGATGATGTCCTGCCCATCTGTCGCTGTTTGGACTTCGAAGAAAACGCACCCTGTGTGAATCACTGCTGGTGTTACCAAGGCTGGGCTGCCCGCCTCCTCCTCCTCCTCTTCGTCGTCGTCCTCCTCCTGCGGATGGCAACGTCTACTGCTGGAATGCTCGCTGGCCGACTCTTGAGTCATCCCAACCTCATCCGCCAACGCTCCGGGGGCTGTAAGCATATCCGGGTTGGCCCCGTCGTTGCTAGCCTCCGACACTCTGCATTCAACCAGGCAGAGTACATGCACACACAGACAGATGGATACACGTGTATACATACACATATGGTGATACACGCATATGTACGTAGCCTTCTAGTAACATGATATGTACATGCACTTGGGCCGGGGAACCTTCATGTCTGAGTTTGTAATTCCACTGGGGCTTTCTGCCGCTGCACCTTAGCTGCGTCGCTACATCGAAACGCAAAAAGTGGGAGGTGCAGCTCTGCCCGGTGGACGTGGCGTGACACGGCATGGCAAGTCAAGCTGCGCTTGGCTTCCTCTTCGGCTTGCTTGGCGGCCTTGCGCTAGCAGCCGGGCAGTCACTCGGGGCCAGCACTACTGCTACCAACAAGGCTGCCTCGTGCTGCTTCTGACAGTCTGGTGGCACCGGGATTTCGTTCTGTACGAAGAAATCGTATGCCTTGCCATAGGGAGCAGTGAAAATCCGCACAAGGCCACGCGCGTGGGCTGAATGATGACTGGCAGGCCTCTGGAGCATACTCCAAAGATGCATTCTCCTTCGAAAGTCTCTACTCAGCTCAAACCCCAAACAGTCTAACTTCAGGCAGCACTGTTCCGTCCAATTCTCAAGGCCTCTTTGGTCTTCGTGGGATCCCATATTCGGCCCCGTGCGCCCATTGCCGTCAGCAACTGTCAGAACAACGGCGACCAGACATGTTCAGAGTCTCCAAGACAAAGAGACAAAAGTGCGCTTCAGGCCTTGTGAGTTCCCTCAAGCGGCTTGGCGGTACAACCTCGGCGAGGGCCCCTTATCGCTTCTCGTACCCTGGCAAAAGTCTTGGAGTGCGGGAGTCCAGTCTCACCTGATGCTAAGTGATGCCTGGGAAGAAACTCCAGACTCTACTAGTTACCTCGCTGTGGTCTTTGGTGCTGCTTCGCGCACTTCGCTTTCAGTCGTGTCTTGTTTACATGGTGAGAACCAGTTTTGCGACGAGTTCCACTGGTAGAACAACAAGCTGAAGCGTGACAGCGGCTGACAACAGCCAATTCGTGGCAGCTCAAGCCCATATGCAGCACTGCAGCAAACTGCAGACATGCGGCTTTCAGTTGAGCCCTTCTCGAACGGTGGACCCTGCAGAAACACGTGGTGGCATGTGACGAAGAAGTGAACAGGAGGCAAAACGCATCAGCCTGAAGTGGGAATGGGAAGAAGGTCTTGATAATCGGTCTCGTGCCACCTGACTCTGCAACACTGGCTTTCTGCAGCTCGCTTGCGCGCGTGGCTGAGTCATTGGCCCAAGTCCTCTTCCAGCTGATGACTTGCAAAATCCTGAATTCCAGAACCCAGGAAAGCTCCACACTTACCGACACAAGCACAAGGTCGCCTTCTTCAAATCATCTAGGTTGTCTAGCAGCTGCAGCTTCTGCCTCGAGATGGTGTCGTGCTGCTAACTAACGCGCTTCGAAACGTACTGAATCGTACTGAGCAAAGTCTGCATGGCATGTGACAGATTGTCAAGAGCACAGAAACTCTGTGGTTTTCCACGGCCAATGTCAGCATTGCCAGCAGCTTTCATACCGGCGTGTCCCAAACCCATCCACGCACTTAGATAGCATCCATTGCGTGCAGTCTCGTGTCTGCACTACTGCACGACTCGGTATGGATCAAATGCTTTTGCATAGATCTTCAAGTGCTGGCCACTCCGCCGGTTTTACGGTGGATGCGACAGTTCGCTACGTAGAATGCAAACATCACGGGTACGTGTCCAGCCATGTTTCGAAAATGATAGGTTACTCTTGACTGGTGAAGCAGTATTTTGGCTTTTGCTTTACTCAGCTTTTGGCACTTAGTTGGCCACTTGCTTTTGGCCTTACCCCCCTTTTTCAACGCCCTTCTCCTAAAACCCGGCGCTGCTACACTCTGGATCTTCCAAGCCTTTCGGAACCTTTCGTGGGCTCACTTTGGTCCTGCTCTTGGTTTGGTTCATACTGTTATCTTCAGGATCCCTTCAACCATTTGTCGACAGCATGGGTCTTCTTCACAGCTAAGAATGCATCCTTCAGGTCTGGCTTCTTTGTTCCAGGTCTTGGTGTCGGCATGTGTCGTATCGGGGCATCTGAAGTCTCAAGAAACTGTCGTGAAGTGGGGCTGACCTGCACCGCAGCGATCGCAACTGGCACAATCTGAAAAGAGGAGCATTCAGCAGCCTGCCGCAAGCAATGCCGCATGGGGAGGCATGATTCAAATCACGGGCACCTCTGAACTATCTCCTCTCGTGATTATTTACGTGAAAGCCCAAGTGACTCGGCGATGAATTCCGGGCGCTGAAATGACGTGAGTTTTCTGAGATTTCCAAGGTCTTGCATCCCTGCTTCCCATTGTGCAGCGTGACGGGATGTTGCGTGACAGTCATCTCCGGGTCAGGTGCCAGGACTAGTGCCGCTTTGAATGCAGCACTCTATAGCGTTCCTTTTAGAAAACTTGGAAAAAACAGAAGGGGGAAGGCATGTAGGTTGAAGAATGCCTCGGGACTCTTACTGCTTGGGATGGCCCCGAATGGCACTGGACTGCGGAAGCCCAAGGCGGCGACTTCTGTCGATCGGTCAACAGGCCCTTGACCTGACACAACATTTGCTAGCTCCTGCTCTCATTTCACTTCGTTATTGCAGAACCACTGGTCATCTCAACAGAGGAAGGCTGCTTATGGGGGCTTGTAGAGCAGCAGGTGACGGCCGTCAGCTCTGTGCCGAGAATGCAAGTTGCGCAAACTTGCCAGAACGGCCCAGCCAGCAATGGTGCTCAAGCCGCTGGACATGTTGACAACGTAAAACCTTTCACAAAAGGATGCTTTCCCGCTCCTTCCCAGCTGGACGCACCGCGCCTAAAGACCCGACCAATGTAGTGATGACTCATGACCTGCTGCGCTTCGCAACGAAAACTGCGACGCTCGAAGCGACACAATCGAAGTCGGGGGTGCCGAGTAAATCTTGGACAAGGCCGATATCGGAACTCCGGAGATCCCGAGACCTCGGCTGCGCTTTGACAGCTATTGGTCACAGCTTCGAATGTACTCTGGGGGCACTGCCCTTGAGATCGACCACCAGGCAATTGTTCTCGATTTTGCCAGGCCTGAGGAAGTTTCGGCCACATGCAACAGTCGTAAGCCCTGTCATCTGCCGAATCACGTTCAAACATGCATTACAGCTTGCGCAAACCCCGTCGTTTCGAGTTTTCATCCATCAGTCTGATTAATGAGAACCACCTTACATTACACTAGCTTGCAAAACACGGGCAGTACCCGAGCTGTGCAGAGGTGCTGCCAGAGCTTCATGCAGAGTTTGCACCGAGCAGTCTCAGAGGCCGGACAGTGCGCACTCACACCTGTGCATCCGGTTCCTTTGCGAATGAAGATCAACTGCTGCGCAACTCACGCCTGTCTGGGTCTCTGCGACATTTTCATGGGAGCCGTTTGGTCAGCCTTCCACCTTCCGCCTTTTTCTTCCCTTAGCATCACGTCCAATCCGACTCCCTCGACTTTTTCCTGATTTCGGGCCTCCGCTCCAAGCGAGGAGGCTGGCAGCCGATTGTGCAACAAAGCTACCCGTTTCGATGGAACAGCAGAACCTGGAGTGGCAAGCAAAGCAGCCAAACTGTGATGCCTCAATGTGGCCAGTCATGCAACCGACGGTTCACCTCTCGAGGGAAACTGTCAATGTTTCAGGCGTCGTCGCTGTTCATGCTAGCACATGACAAACACCCTGAAAGACTTTTCAGCGTCGAGCAACCTGCCCAAGCGAAGCAAAGGTAGGACGTCCATGCGCTTAGAACTCGTTTGCTTCCCGCTGTCGCTGTGCGAGAATGCACATCGCGTTTAGTTCACGCTTGGTTCTGCTCGACAGGGTGCCAGTCTTGTTTTCGACGGCAGGGCAGGCGCACGCCGGGCATGACAAACGGCGACTCGTAGGAAGTAGGTGCCCAGCACAACCATATATCTGACCATGTACTCCATGGAGAAAATCAGTACTCTGATCAGCCGCTCAATGCCAGCAGCCTTGTCCTGAGCAGCGCAACAGAAACCGGTGATTTCGGTGATGAGATGATGTGGCCAAGGATGCGCGGTCCTTGTACCACTCGTCTGGTATCCGATTTGCTCGGCACACAATTGTGGGCCTGTCACGAGATACAAACAACCAAAAAGTGTTGAGAAAATACAGCTCCTTACAGCTTCGAGACCTCATGCCATAATCTCGGCCACAAAAGTAAACTACGCCGTACCTTGGTGAGAGCCAACACGGAGCTGCAAGAGGCGGTCTGGCCCTACACGTCCAGAGGAATTGAGGAGAAAGCTTGAGATCATCGATCACTTGGTGATCGGAAACCGGCCCGTCCTGGAACGCGACACGCGAACCGACTGCGACTACCACGACTGCTCCCACACGTGCCAACGAGCGGATGCCAGCGGGCCTTGAAGTAATCTGCCTTCCACTCCTGTGTGGCTAACATGAGCTTGATGGCCTGCGACAAAGTAGCTCTCGACGAAGGCATGGGCGTGATTCCCGTGCTTTGTATCACTTTGCGGCCTTGTGAGGGTCGCCTCGAGCTCTGCTCAAAAAGCGCCCTGCCATAATTGCCTGGCAGAGGTGACTTGTCGTCACGACTTTGGCTGCACATCCACAAGCCGGAGAGGCGATGGAAGGGAAAAACTCCAGGCCCTGGGCCTTTGCTGTTTCCTGTCAGCATCGACACTCACATACGTGTGGACTCGCAGGGCTCGGTGCAATCGATCCTGCAGAGCTTTGACGCTTGCTTTCTCCTGCCAGCGCGATGTGGTGCACCGGGCCAGGCTGATTCATTGACTTCCAGATGCCCTGTTGATACGTCGTTGGGGAGAGAGACAAGAAAAAGCAGACACCCTCAAGCATGGCGAGTCGCTCGAACATGACACATCAGAAAAGGACAGGGTCGGACACTGGAAAAGGCTGCTCCTCCTCTGAGAGCTCTATGTTGCAGTAGATTTTGCGCTCCGTATCGCCGTTTTTAAAATGGCCTCGAGAAAGAGAAAGCTGCTGAATACAGATTTAGGCAGCCAGGCAGCGTGGTTCGAAAAAGGAGACTGAGGCTAGGACTCACGACCATGTCCGGCTCGGGTTCAAAAGTGAAGGCCTCGAGTAGTCCAACGCACTTTGCCAAGAAAAAGCAGAGACTCAGACTTCTTGAAAGACGTTCTGCTTTGGCTTTGTGAGGGCCTCCACTGGAAGGGTGAAAGGTGCAATGTTTTCCTCCTGGCTGGGGCGGGTGCAGGAGCGACTCCTCCTGTGTCACTTTGTCACCAGGGCAGGCAGGCCTTGATGGAGAGATATGCAGGCTCCTCCACGGTCCTTCGAGACATTTCGAGACTGAACATTTGTCGACAGGGAAAGCCTGGGACAGAAAGCTTCGCCAGAGTGTACAAGTTACCGGCCTGAAGCCGTCCATGACTGGACCCTGACACAACGGCAGTGAAAGCGCAGCCTGTGCCATCCCCCAACAAGTGGCTGAGGCCTTCTTCAAGCCTCCTTGCAGCCCCAGGCAGATGCAAATCGCATCAAGACTCGGTGCTCAAAGAGAATTCCTGCTTTACAAAGATGAGCTCCTGTAGCATTCTTGCTCGCCTTGGACTTCTTCGGCATTTCTGGACCTCAGCTGCCACAAGCCATAAGCCTTGCCGGGCCTTGCCGCGGAAGCTTGGCCTTGGCCGGGCTGGGGCCCCCAACGCGAGCTGTTGGGGAGCCCTGAAAGGAAGGCAGAGAAGGACAGGGAAGGATGGGGATCGTCTACGCTGCAAGTTCCCGGCCTCGCTTGCCTTGGTGCCTTCGGCAGCGGCCACTTCGAGGGGCCTTTTGGAACTCGGACCGCGGAGCCAGCTGAAAGACAGCGTAAAGATGTATCAACATCTGCGTTCGGAACATGCTCAGTCTGTCGAAAAAAGTCGAGCATCGGCACAGCAACGTAGCTTCCCTTGCAACTTGCACTCTGTGTCAGCATTGGCTTATTTGTGATGCAACCACACCAATACATCATGGCTACGGCACGTGGCCCAAGGCATAGCTGCAAGAGCTCTGTGCGCAGTCGTCCACACTCCACCTGCCTCAGCATTAGTTGGACCCGCCGCCGCTGTCCTCTGACCCCTGCCTGAGCTACCCTCCGCTGGGCAGCTGGGCACTTGCACCCCTCTGCCCGAAACAGCAGGACTAAACAAGGAAGGCCTGGAGACAACGGGGCTTGGTGCTCAGGCACTGGATGCTAAGCACCGGTACTTTCATGTTCCCAATAGAGCTCACTCGCAAAAATGTCAAGAACCCCTTGTTCATCGTTCTGATCTCAACACACACACACACACGCACACTTACAGTCGGGAATGCTGCCCGCAACGAAGAACTGACTGTCTCAAGCTGCTTCGACGCTTAAGCTCACCTCATCGCTGTCTTTTTGCTTTCGTGCTGCTGACTTCATGGATCTTTGCGCATGAGAGTGATGCTCGCTGGACATAGGAAGGACAAAAATGTCCGACAGCCCGCTGGATGGAGCAGCTCTGAATGGCTCTAGAACTTGAGGGCGGGCGCAATTGTTGCTGCCCGAAATTCATGCGGCATGCGCAGCAGACTTGGCGTCACGAACACCACGAGGGCGAGGAGAAACGCCGTCAGTCGAGAGCCATGTCAAGAGAGGCCTCGGACTGTCGTGCTTCTGCTATCCGCCCGTACACTGAAGCTGACAAGCAGACAAATAAGCAGCGCCCGGACACTACGTCCACGGTGTCTTGAGTTAGACAGGCTAGGGACTGCCACTACAAAAGAGGCACATGAGATCGCTGATGGCTCAAGGCCGTGCCCTTGCCGATTTAACATGATGCCGGTCCAGTCTAGCCCTGCTACTGATTTTGCGCAGTCTGTATCCCTGGTAGTGCTCACCCCGCCCCCCTTACATTCGTACAGCTGGGATCCGCGCAGACCAAGCAGCACTTCTATGAAGAGCTGGGTCTGCACGAAGGTGTGGACCTGTGTCTATGCCCCGTGTTCATGCCGAACCAGGCGCATCCTCCAAAAACGGAATTTTCTCCGGCCTCTTTTTGCACCTCGAGGAAAGCCTGGCAAAAACCAAAAGAAGAATGTGCCGAAGATCCATGCCGCTCTCAATCCGAGTGAACAAATCTCTGCCACCTCAATGACTCTCAGGTACAGCTGCAGGTAGAGGTGGACCTGACGAAGCGCCGGAGAAAATGCACTTTCCAGTGCAGACGACGCCCCCCACCTCCTCCACGGCCTTTCTCCAGTATGCAGAAACATGCACACGCAGATGCTTCGGCAGCCTTCGTTGTGCAAGTATCCCTGCGTTGTGTGTCCTTTTCTGCTTCATATTGCTGCGACGCGCCTGAGGAGATGCCCCTGCAGGTATGCAAGGTTGTCCTGCGTACGCATGAGCCCTTCCTCAGTACTTGGCTTCCCGTCTCAAGTCGAGACGGCCTTCCACAAAAACCGTGCAGCACAGATTTCACTTAGCAAGTCGCTTTTCGAAAGCTCGCAAACTCGTCATCGTTCGCTGCCTGCGGACAGTTTCATTGAACTTTCCAAGGAAGGGGCCGTGCCAGCGTTGTGCCTCTGGGAGGAGGAAATGCACTGCCTCCCCACTTGTCAGCAAAGCCGCCTAGAGCGAGCATGGCAGCCAATTTCCATGTGCCTTGACTGCGGCCCTGCAGTCTAAGTCCATGGCAGATGATGGTTCGGCTGCAAACCAGAGAGCGATGTCCATAAAGTCTGCCTGCTCTTGGAGTTCTGAAGATCGCTGTGGTAATGGCCGCGCGTCAAGGTCGAACCTTCTCACTCAACAAGACTTCAATGAGCCGTCTGAGAAGACGTTGAGCTCCGAGATTGGCACCTCACATACTTCACATCGAAGTCCAGCAGTGCAAGCCGAAAAGTGTCGCAGCTCTTTTCAGCACATCCCTTTGCTCTGAGCACCCAGTGGTGGCCCAGCGACGAAATGCGTCAGGGCTTCCTGAGCTCGCGAAGTACTCCTTCGATTCTGAACTTCGACTTTCTGGATTCTCCCACCTGGCCCTTGGCAACTGCCAAAGCTGACAGTTTCCAAAGCGGCAACCTTAGGCAGCCGGCTTTGTGCTGTGAGCAAAGCCCGGGACGGGGTGCAATGAGAGCTTAAAGAAACAGTTTGCATTGAATTGAACAGAAAGTCCTGGTGAGAACACGGCATTTGCGCAGAAGATGTACTGTTGCTGCTACCAGTGCTACCATGCATGTGCAGCAAGAGCAGCCGTGGATGCCAACAAGACTCTGCAGCAATCTCAGGGAGCAGCAAGAGTAGCAAAGTGTCACCCAGAACCTGCGGCCAGGACGGGAGCTCGCCTGTTTCGCGTGCCTGAGCGGTGCCAGCAGGGTGCATCCAACTTGAACCGTTGCAGTCGGACTGATGCCTGCAACTCCGCAGTCGCTCGAACCGCTTGCCGCACATCCTGGCGCCCAGAGCCGAAGATTTGCAGACGACATATCAAGAGTCATAGCACCACACTGTCCTCGACGAGAAGCTTCTCCTCGCCCTGCAGACTTCGGAAGTCGTGCATAAGCATCCAGAGAGGTGCTCGCAGATGCTCCTGGCCGGCTGCACTTCCAAGACAGCTTCTACAAACGAGGCTTGCCGGGGTTCGTCATGGTCCTTGATCAGCTGTATCTGCTTGAGGACTGGCTCTTGAGAGCTCATGTGAAGCTCCAAGTTCGAACCTCAATGGTAGCAGGCAAAAAAACTCCTCGAAGTTTCCGGACAAAGGCGTCGTGAGTGAGAGACACTGTGACGGAAGCTCAGACAAAGCCTGAGTTATTGCCTCGGGAAGCATGGCAAGCTTCTGTCACCTCCGATTCTCCTCGCACATGTGACCTGAGTCTGACACTTTTGTCTGTGCTTCGAACGCCTTTTGCTTGGCAGAGTCCTGGAGGCGCAAGGAATGAGACAGCATTACGGCCTCCAACTTTGAGAGTGCAAGCATCCTCGAACTGCATGTGTGTCAGCGGGTGAAAATTTCCACACAGGAATCTGAGATGGCTGGGCCTGAACACGGCACGACTTCATCATTAAGCACTGACACATTCATGCTGATGCCGTAGCCCTGAAGCTGCAGTCGAGCTGAGCACTTGGAGGCTGGCAATGGCTCCAGGAAGGAGTGGAAGAATTCGGAGTCTAAGCAGAGCGGAAAGTTCTTGAGACACCTAGGAATAATTCGACACATCCCAGCCACACGGTCCCACGCAAAGATGCTTCAGGAACTCCAGGTGCAGCACTCCCGAATGACGTGAATCATGTTGTCGATGAAAGGTTTGGCCGAGACAGATCCATCTGAGTCGGAATCTTGAGAAACGAGTATGCCCAACCTCCAGCGGACTTTCATCAGTGAACGATTCTTCAAACTCCACGGAGCCCACTTCCGAGGGGCGCGCTCGACTGCCGCAGACAAAATGGTACGGAGCGTCAGCACCTTGATTCCGCACGTTCCCACGGCTCTTTGGATGGAAACTCACTGGAAAACAAGTCCAGACAACCACCTGGTGGACCCACACGGACAAGTTTCATCCACATCCAATCCTGTGCGGCGTCTCTAGGATCCGGACGATGCTGCACACTGCATGCCGAATTTGTCGCAGAGAACAGTTGAATCTCGTCGCCAAAATGTAGTCCAGCACCCAGGGAAAATCCAGCAAACAAACCTGGCGTGCTCCGAGCTTCTGAGTCACAGTGCGGAGTCGGTTTAGTGAACTTCGCAAGGACAAGTCCGCTCCAAGCCTGCACCGTCATCGCGCCAGAGCGCAGCTCACCTGTCCCAACGCATGCAAACTTAAGACCTTTTGCGGCAGCCTCCTGTCTGACATGCGTGTCATGGCTTATGCGGATAACCCATAGTCGCAGAGGCATGCCAACGCAAACAGTGGTCGCTTCAGAACTTGACCCGAAAACACACACACACACACACAGAGAGACAGAGAGAGAGAGAGAGACTGGCAGACATGCAGACTGGATAAGCTTCATCCAAAAAATTCCTTGCCTGCTGCCGATGCGCCCAGGTGCAGATCGGCTTCGGCTAACAAATTTCTAGCTGTCGTTTGAATGCTTGGCTGCTGCTTGGTGCAAGTCCTCCTGCTGCTGATTCTTCTGGCAAGCTGCTGGGTGGCTCTGGCTTGTGGACTGAATGCCAGTTCGGACACTAGTAGCTGAGACTGGGCTGTGCACGACCAATGGTATCGGAAGCCGTCGTAAGGACCACTGTCCATAAATCACTTACAGACCACTGCATGTCTGCATCTTACTGCATGTCTGCTACTTGGCTACCTTGAAATTCTAGCAGCTGCGGCTCGCAGCTAGGACCTAGGAGCACACATGGCGAATGTGGGAAACTCCTCGAAGGACGTGGCACTTGGCCGCCCAGGACTCAAACGGAACATTTCGCATGACATGGCTGTGACGAGCGGTAAGAGCTCTTCGCATGCATCGTTGGACATCTCGTACAGCACTAAGTTAGAGTCAAGAAGATTCACGAAGCACACCTTTTCGAAGTTGCGATCAGCCAGCCTGGAAAGCACAGCGCATGCCTCCGGCTAGATCTTCGAATCTGCAGACTCCTGCTCCAACCATGCCTTCGCACAAAATCCGCCGTGCGAAAGTGCGCGTATTTCATGCTCAACTTCGCAGAGTACCTCAGAAGACTGAGGGTCCACAAGCTTCAAGATCCGAAACTCATGATGTCGAATGGCATCTTCCTCGGAGTCATATGTTAGATTCGGAAACCGAGGGTTGTTCCACACCAGTCCAAGAGCCTTCGCCGCTCTGTAGGCGTTCACGAACGAATTTACATATATGGCAATGTGGTACCCGTCATAAGGCACTTCTCCAGCGACTTCTTGGTACACCAACCATTGTCCTGCCCCTATAGGCACCCAGCACTCCTCTCCTTCCGAGCCTTTGCGGAATTCAGACTCCGTGGCGAAGACGTGCCGATAAAACCTTGCTAGGCCTGGGCTGCTGCCTGCTGGACACTGAAGACGGATGTAAGGCATACCCATACATTGGGAAGCCTCCTCACTGGGAAGGCCGAGCTTCTGCTTCCTGGCAGCCTCACAATCCAACCAGCCACGAGGGGTCAGCCAGCTTTCCGCACGAATGCCGTGGGCATAGATTTTCACCCCTGTCGGGCTTGTGCACTGCAACGCAACGGGTCCAACGCCAGGAAGATTACTCATGTGGTCTTTCAGGGGGACCACTGAAAAGTTCACGCCAGCCCCTCTCAGCGTGGCTCGCAAGCCCATAATGTCAGCATACGCAAGGCCTACGACGCCTGGCGGCTTCTGGGAATCCATTGGCGGCGGCTCTCCAATTGGCATATGTATCTGCTGCAGGCCAGCATTGGCCCAAACGAGCCCCTGCAGGGAACCTCCGGCTGACTGCACGTTGTCGCAAACACCCTGTGCTCGAGAATCAGGCACGAGGCCCATAGCCTTGAACCAGAAACAATCGTTTTCCGAATTCCATTCCGGTACATTCACATTCAGGTGTTCCAAAGAAACCAAAGTTGTTTTCCTACCCGACTCGCCCGCCAGCTTTAAATCAATATCTGGAAGAGGACATTTTCCTCGACTCACGCAGAAGCTGGAAGCAATGTCAACAAATCTGCTGCTTCCTGCCCCCATGGCTCAAACCGCACTACGGACCTTTGATCCAAACACTGCGCTCGTGGGCCAGGGGTGCCCTAGTGCTCGGGCTTTAGAGGCTGCGCTCACTTTCCCGACCCCATCTCGAAACTCGGCATCCTGGATCGGATATAGACACAAACGCTTCAAGTGACACGACAGCAGCGGAAGCCCATCCATGTACTCCAAGTGCGGGAAGTGATCACCTGAACTCCAAACGTTGTGAATTTTCGCCATCAGTGAGCTCTCAGCAGCAGGACGGCAGCTATGTACAGCTAAGTGAACAGAAGTCTGGTCGATTCAACGAGAGCAATGACATGGTGTGGGAGTCTAGGACATACAGAATGGAAGCGACCAAACCTCTAGTCCAAAATCGGGGAGGTTCTCCCTTCCTGGCGACCATTTGCATGCTGTGAAAACATCATGTCAGCATGCAAACGACAGGTCACGAATCAGCAAAATTCCTACAGGCCTGTGGAACCGCGAGTCTGCAACAATCGGTGCACTAAAAAGAGTCTTTAAACCGAAGACGTTGAAACACCAGACTCCGGTCTAACAAGCCGATTCGGTCATCCATGCCAGACTGAAGACCGCAACTAAGCGGATGAGGAAGTACTTTAATCAGAGTCGTCGACCGCTAAAGCTATGTTCATTGTGGTCATGAGTCTTGGTTGGAGAATTGAGCGCCTCTAGCGAGCACTGTCTGTTCGCGCACGGAATGTCACGAAGGTCCCCAAAAATGCACCTCTTTGGCAAGCAGGGATTCCTGCAAGAGTGTTCAATTGCCCCAAGCGGTCGATCACCTGCCCCGTAGATCGGCAGGTCGTTTCAGTCGGCACGTCATGTGTCGAGCTTGCGTAACGGCTTACGAGATGTTGTGCCTGCTTTTCCGTTGCCCACATTGAAATCGTCATCGTGCCTTGCCAAGCAGCGTCTTTGTGCTAGCATCCGGTCCGTACGTTCTGTACCCATGTCGATGGCCGACAAAGCAAGTTAAGCGGGCCCAGCCCCGATTCGTTCAACTTTTGCACCGATCGCTCTCTGCGATTGGTTCGATTTCGCCAGAATGCTTCACGAGGATGGCATAGGATGGCATAGAACCTCTGTGATGTTCTGTCAACTTTGTTTATCGGCTCTCTCCGCAACTTCAACTTCCTGTCTCCAAGACAGTTGAGGGACCAGGGCGAGGAGCTTAATTGCGCACGGGATGCTGGCAGGGTGACCATTGACCATGAGGAGGTTTACAGGCTTTGCCCTTTCTTGCGGACTCGGGAGAAATCTGCCATTGCATGCAGGACATTGCAGGACAGTACAACATTCTGAGTTTGCTGCTCGGATCCGCAAGAGATGTAACCTCAACACGACTGGCTGAAAACCCTAGCAGCTTCATGCATGCCAGGGCTGCTTGTCTGAGCATATTGCGGCCCACCTGTCGCAGTGTTCTTTGACGCGAACTGGCAAGCAATGTACAAGCCACTGAACGAGCGGCACACTTGGCTTTCGGACACGAGAACCGTCTGAAGACTTGAGATTCAGATAGCTTCCGAAGCACATTAAGCAACACCCAAAATCTGCGAAACAGGACGATTTAACCAGACGCGTCCACGTTCCCAACTCTGACACTGGAGGCATCTAGCGGTGTCGACATGCATGCAATTCCTTTGTCAGAGGGCCCCCCGTCTTGGCAGTCAGGCTCCTGTGGCTCAACAAGGCAGAGTCACAAAAATTTGCAGGAGCAGACTGGCACTGCTTTGGCTTTAGGGCTCCGCTCCTCCATCTCATCCTCGTCCAATACAGACACAGGGGATGCTTGAGCTGTCGCAGAATCCTTAGAACAGCCGTCCAGGCAGAAATCTTCAAGGCATGGCTGACCCAGACAGCAACCTTTCGCAATGGAACCCGCGAACTGCAATAAATGCAAGCATGACAATATGCCACTGAAAGGTTTTGTTCCAGCCGAAAAGACCCGAGCCGCTGTGTTTCGTGCTTCCTGCCTGAAAACCTTTCGTTGCTGGCAGTTCCTTTTACTTCCCAACTGATGTTCCGTGCCTTCCGTGCATCGGTGCATCAGTTTCGGCTTTGACATCGGCTTCAGGCTGCCGAAAGCACGTGCTGCCCAGATTCTGCGGGAGATCCTGACAGCCTGACACCCTCCAAGATCTCAGATTAAAGCCCCTAGCATTTCCTAACAGAGGTTACCGTACCAGACCCGACACAGTTCCCTGCGAGGTCGATTGCACGTGGTTGCAGGCAAGGGCATCAAGGGCGGAAGCCCAGCCGTGCCACAGCCCGGCACAATCGGCGCTGTACGGACCTCCATGGATTCCAAACACCTGCACATATCATGCATTCCGAGTCTCTTCCGGGCCAGGGTTATCGGATTCAGGATCTGGCACCCGCTCCAACGAACTGATAGCAGCAGCCATCGCCGGACCGTTGTCGAAGGAAACAAAGACAAGAGAAGCATCGACGCCTCCCAGAATGGTACCCCTCGCGCCGGCAGGCACGATTATGGCATGGGGACTCATCAAATGGTGAAGTGCTCGGACTGTCGTTCCAGCTGGTAGCCCGGGCAACGTTTGACACCACGGCATAATTTCCAGGGGTAGCACATTACAGCAGT